TTATTTATCGATAATAATATCTATATATATATATATATATTCGCAAATATAAAACGACATATATGTATATATCTTGATGTTCTTTTTGGGCAAGACCACATATTCCCAGTACTACTTTTCTTCCTCGTGACTAATATATAAGAATGTACAAACGTCAGTCAATATACAAATGTGATATTTGAATAAATTGCGTGATACGTCACGTACGTTGGGTCGATGACGAAACTCTTTAGAAGAGTGCCACTTCCTCTTGACCCTGATCAAATGGCAAACTTCCAGGTCACTGCCGAAATCATCGATCTCAGGTCGTAACGCATCCATCGATCTATCGATGATCCCAGGGATTTTGCCCTCTATTTAACTAATTTAATTAATCGAGCGGAAAGAGAGTAATTGCCCGCTCCGCTTTACAGAGAGTGCCGGAATGGATGAGAACCGTGGCGTTGCAGATCTTCGAGAATCGCATCATCGCACAGAGCATCGCGTCTATCGTCGTGTTTCTGACTTTCATCACGGTATTATCGCCGCTGGTGAGTAATCAAAGCTTCTAATGCGATCATTATTTTTTGTTAAACATTTTGCTTCCTAATTACGCTTCTCGTCTATCACGAGAGCAATAATTTCTTTACGTTTTAATAAATAAAACGTAAATGTAATTCTAAATGAATAAAAAGAAACCTTAATTGAGATTATTAAAAATATAAAAATTTGGAACTCCGGCGGATATTCAAGCGGATAAAGTTGTTTAAAGTTTAAATGATTCAAATAATTCAAAAACTTTAGGGTATACGAGAATTCAAGAAATATGCGATCCATTAGTCTTGTGAGATATTAATCACGCGTAATATTGAATAAATGATTTATTCGTAATGTCGCGCAGCTTTCGCTATATGCATCCCCCCCCCTTCTCTCTTTTTCTCTCTCAATTTCGTTTTTATAAATTCAATAACCCATCCCGTCGTTTGCTCTGGAAAACTCGTTATGCCAAAATTATAGCGCGACGTGAAATAGAGCCTTCCGCGCTAAAACTTTCGGCAATAAATCGAACGCGTGCGTCGATACTGCAATTAATCATAAACGCTCTGGAATAATAATAATATTGCCGTAAACGTTCGTGATTAAATCACAAACGGATAGAGATAACATCGGTCAAACGGCGAATTGTGCATTTTCCGTGAGTGATCAAATGTTCTGCATTCTGTATTGTAGTAAAATAGTGATAACGATCGATAACGTGGACGATGGTCCACGTCGCTTTTTTTCGCTACAGATTACATTGGACGGAAGTGAGGCTTGCGTGAGCAATAACACTTCGCCTTTCTGGCTGGATGAGAGCCCCGGCGTAATGAGAGTATCGACAAAGAGTGCCGATGCCGCCGGTAGTTGTTATTATATCCTTTTCTGCGATGTAAGTTAAACATAAATGTGACGTCGGCGTTGAGATAAAAAGATATTAATTATTAAATGAGCGTTCTCTCGAAATCGTCGTGAAAAACAACGCGGATAATGTGCAGAAAAACAGAGATATTTCAAATAAAGAGATTACACATTCTGAAAAAAATTACTGTGTACGAGTCTCACGAATGCATAATCTTTTAATAAGAGTACTAAGCACTCTTTTATACTAAGTACTCTCATTCACGTACTACTTTAATAAGAGTAATAAGTCCATACATAATTCACGCAAAATTTATGTTAAATTTTTAGCGATTAAAAGAATTATGTTTTAAACATAAATTATTATACTGAAGAACGCATGTCGACTGTTCTCGACGCGAATCACGGATTTGCAATAATAATAATAATTTATGGAAAACAATTTTTGCGAAAGCACGAAAGTTCGCGATAATTCGTAGAAAACAATTTTCGAAAGCACGAAAGCACGAAAATTTGGCTTCCACTGTGATGTTCCGCAATCGCAACCGCTGATTGCAGCTGTTTCCGGTTCTGGTGATGCTGGTGATGGTAACCTGTGCGGTGTACCAGATCCTAACGTCGGTCTTTAAAGTAGCCGTATTGAGCATCGTTGTGGCTTGTTATCTCGGGGTCAGCATTTACCAGGCACTAAATGAGGACAACGTCGAGCCCGCTGGAAGATGGCTGGCGGGTGTACTGGTGGTTTTCTTCATGGCCTGCCTAGTGGCACACTCTCAGCACACAGAGGCGACCTACAGGTTCAACATTCGTGCTTATACCGTACATACGTTTGCCTCCCCCTCCCTCCCCTAAAAAAAAAAACTTACGCAACGTCAGAGCTCGTAGATACATACCGAACTTGTTCACTACACATAACTCGAACTTGCACGTTGCAAACGTTGTTTGAGGCCCCCGTGAAATTTCCCACGAGAGCGCTCATCTCGTGAGCGAACAATGTCGCGGATCGACGATCTCACGAACTGATTTCCGCGGAATAATTTCATAGTCGAGATAGGAACCGCGTGTATACACAGCCGTACGGAGAGCCGCGAGCAAATTTATACACGGGATGCCTCGTGAATACGGTGACATCTTGAAACTTAATTAAAGTAAACACGTATCCGGAAGAGTACAATTGTGATATACGAATTGATCAGAATTTACCAATTGAGAATACGCGGTATGCAGCGCGCGATCGAGAAACCCCCCCTTCCCCCCCCCCCCCCACCGATGTCGATATACTTAATAAAACATCCTGAAAATACGATACAATTTCGCGAGATATTTTTCATGGCAGATATAGGCGAAGGATATTGACGTGTTCTGTGTACAAATACAGATTGGATTTCCTGTGGAAGTTGCAAGCGACCGAGGAGAAGGAGGAAATGGAACACTTGAAGGCCTACAATCAGAAACTGCTCGCGAATATACTTCCGGAACACGTGGCCGCCCATTTTCTGTCTACTGTCAATTCAGACGTAAGCTCTATTTCTATTTTTAAACAAATCCAAAGAAATCTTTTGGAGAAAAAAATTTAACGGGTTTTTTTAACGCTCTGTTCCATCAATTTTTATTAATTTTAATTTACTTTATCTTTTACTAATTCTTAGAACTTGAAAGAAATAAAAAAATTAATTGAACCGAGATTGAAATTAATTTATATTGGATATAAATGCGTCAAATGCTGTAAAATGCTATCAGGTTGTTATATATTATACATTTCTGAATTAAAGAAAACAATTTGAATATTTCATTGCAGCATATATATTTGGCCTAATTAGCGATCGATTCTCTTACCATGCATACTACTGCGTGTTCGAGACACAATGGACATAAAGACTAAGATATTCACAATACATTCTGACATTTCCTAATGAGGTTACGCGATTATAGATTAAACAGCAATTTACAACTAGAAGATGGATGTAGAATAAAGTCTCTTATTGTACATTTTAAAGTTTACCTTAATAAAGTTTACCTTAATTGACTTTCTCATAAGTTTCGCATTAGCGACATTTTCATAAAAGCAATATTTGTTTCTTTATTCTGCCATTCTAATTAAATGGCAAGCGTAATAATTATTAATTTTAAACAATGTCATATAGTAACCCTCCGGTGCCGCATAAAGATCATTTGTAACGTCGTGTATTTAATTAAGTTACTGTTAGAGTTTCACCTTAGTTTTATATGTTAACTACATAAAGACTCTTAACAACCATCATGTTAAATCATTCAATTTCCAAACTAAATTTCAATGGTGTTTACTCATTTTCCTAATTTGTTATGTCCTATTCAGAAGCGACTCTAAATTTAATATAACAAGTTAGACATCAAATATATATCAATATCATTTGCTCGGAATTTAGTCATAGTTTTATTTATCTTCGAATCCAATAAGAGTCCTAAGAATCAAACTAAACAGTCAAAGAAAAGATTTTTTTATATACTATAAATTTTAAATTAAAATAATCGAAGTAATTATTGTTGTTAAAAAATTAGTCTGTTTATTCTTAATTATTTTGAAAATAATTATATTTAACAATATAATTAACAAATATAATTATTTTCAAAATAACTAAAAATAAATGATTAATAAATGCTAATTTTTTAATAATTATGTTGATCAATTTAATTTAATATTTATGATGTATAAAAAACTTTGTATTAACTGTTTAATTTAATTCTTTATTCTTGGTTAAAGTAAAAGATTGGTGTCAAAGAGTATCAGGTCTTATTTTGTAAAAAGATTATCCACGGAAAAACGATGCAATTGTTGATTGTTTCGCAGGAATTATATCATGAACAATGCGACTTTGTGTGCATTATGTTCGCTTCGATCCCGAATTTTTCGGAATTTTACGTCGAGCTCGAAGCGAATAACGAGGGCGTGGAATGTCTCAGGCTTCTCACGAAATCATCGCTGACTTCGACGAGTTACTCGCCGAGGAGCAATTCAAGTACATCGAGAAGATCAAGAGTACGGGTGCTACGTACATGGCTGCTTCGGGTATATTCCTTGTTAAAATTTCTTAGCGACATTGCCACTCGATGAGTCTTTGACTCGCCTCCAAAGGCCATTTTTGCGCCGTCGGCTTTTATATCGTCCCGGAAAAGAACGACGCTGCGTGTGCGATTAATTGCTGGGCGAATTAAACTTGAAATAATTAGATTAAACTAACTTGATTTCCTCTAATTTGATTTAGTGACTCGTACAGAATAGATTGGTGAAGATAATGGAAATTCGCAAGAATAAATGACAAAATTCATTATCCTCATTGTACATCGATACGATAACTAGCTTTTAATTTATATATTTGTTTTTGTCAAATATTCCTCGTTAAATTCACGTCAAAAATCCTCCGTTTTAATTCTCGCAGTTTCTCTAATTGCCCGAAGGCAGATCTAATTTCCCATGACCGCTTGACTTTTCGCGCAATTTCCTAACAATTTCCTAACAACGCGGATTCTTTATTCGAATTATGGAAGATATTGCGCGATCTTCACCCTTATTTCTTTTTGTTGTTTTAGGGCTAACGAAAAGCACCTGCGACATGCGGGATTTCAAACACGTGATTGCTATGGCGGATTACGCTCTGAGGATTCGCGAGCAGTTGGCCTATGTCAACGAACACAGTTTTAATAATTTTCGCATGCGTGTGGGCATCAACATCGGACCGGTAATAATAAAGAATATAAAACGAGCAATTTTCGATCGCATGTGCGTCTTTTCCCTTGTAAATAATTCATAAATTATATTCCATCGACGAGTAAAAATACGGAGACATCGAAAACTTGAGAAAATACTAGGTCGCCAAAATTACATTTTACATTCTATCAATTCTAATTAAATTAATTCAGAAAGTGAAAAACTAAATTAAATAACGATTTCTTTGAAAATTTTATATTATTTAATTTCATATTTTAAATTCAACATAAATATATTTTTTGAAATATTAAAAATATACTTTTAAAAATTAAAAATTTTTTATTTTTCAAATAAATTGTTTCGCGCAATTTCTTCTAAATGTTCTCTCACAGAAAATTTCGTCTGTATTTGACACTCGAGCTCAGCTGCGAGAAAGAAAATCTCGGCAAAGCTGACGCGGATTTTCAGGCGCAACGAGACTCAATTCGCGACGTGAATTGCGCAGGTGGTCGCCGGCGTGATCGGCGCCAGGAAGCCGCAATACGACATCTGGGGCAACGCCGTGAACGTGGCTTCCAGGATGGATTCTACGGGCGTGTTAGATGGAATTCAAGTCACCCAGGAGGTTCGCGATATTCTAGCGGCTAAAGGATATCCCCTCACGTGCCGCGGAACGATTCAAGTCAAAGGGAAGGGCAGTATGATAACTTACTTCCTGGACGGGCCGAGGGACAACACCAAGTCCAACCAGATAGACGTCGTCAAAACGAATTCCAACAACAACACCGACGCGACAGAGAAGACGGTCAACAATAGCAGCGGGACTGTCTGATTGGTATTGCCTAATAATTCATTAAGTTAATATTAAAAATCTCTTTTTCTAAAATTTATCTCTCTCTTTTGGAAATAGAATTTATCATAGCAATTTTGATAAGTAAAGCCTAGACTAACTTCAATTTCACTTCTTGTATTTACATACTTAATAAAATATTAATAACCAAATTATTTAATTAAAGTATGAATAATAAGAAAGACATGAAAAGAACGTAATGTCGCTAAATGTCTGAAAGGAGAAAGGCCGTTTGATGTTATCTCGTGGCCAAACTCGGGACTCCATTCCTATCGTGATCGATTTGCTAAATACGTATGATGCATGTTCGATGCAATTTACATTATGGCATCACAATCGGCCGCATAATCTCGCGATAAATTTGAATTCGTGAAGGGAGAAGGAATGCAAAGGGTAGTTATTATCTTGGGCGAAGTAACTCGTAGTAATATCGTGGATGTCTATTCGAAATATTCTACAAATTGCTGCCTAAGTATGCGAATATCATGCTTCGCGACCTTTTTGTAATCGTACTTTTTAACTTTCTCTTAATATACATCAATTAATAGTTTAAAAATATTTTCATCCATTTTCTATTTTTATACCATCTATTATTAACGTATGCCGTGCAATTCGATGATATTACAAAATTACAAGAGCGCTGTACGTTAAATATTTCATTTCGATCGATACTATTTCGCAGCAAAATATTTCAATTTATTAACAAATAGATATTAGTTATATAAAACTATAATATTTTACTAGCTTCTTAAGTTTGATTAACTTCAATATCGGGATATCGATTTATTAAAATGTACGACGTTTGTTTAATTCATGATGCTATCTGTGCATTTCCAAGATTTAATATATTTTTACTTTAATATGTTTTTCAATAGAAGTAAAAAAATATTAGAAAAATAAATTCCTTCAGGAGCAATTTGTTTATTTATATTATTTATATTATTTATATTATTTATATATTATATTTATTATTATTATATTTACATTATTTATACTATTTTATTTTTGTATATTATTTATCGATATGCCTTTTTCCTTGCGCGTGTGAATATTTCTATTTATTATTTTATATCTGTATAAACTGCGATGAAAATTTTATCTGTAGTTGGAATATTGCGCTACATCTTGTTAATATAAAGATGTTATTACATCTTTCGTTGCGACAATTTATCACGGAATTGAAGTGTTCCAATAACTGGGAGATCGTTATATAACACTTTCAACCATATCGTTGCATCAGACAAATACGCGCGTACTGACGAGGGCACAATCAGTTGCACAACAAATGTTTTTCGTGCGAGAGCAAATCTTGTAAATAATAGTAAAAAAAATCTTGTTGATCATGAAAAACCTTCATTTAGTGCGAAATGTTTAATACAGCAAGCAAAAATTTCATTTATATACATTGAACGTAAAATAACGCATGCAGAAGTAAATAATAAAATTAATAAAAACCATTGTAGAAACGCCGAACAAAACAATGATTGCAAATTCAATTAATTAATCGTAAATTTAGTTCTACAGTTAAGGTCGCAAATTAAAAAACCGTTATGTATTTTTTAGTAAATCGATATATTATCAAAACTGAAAATTTTAAAAATAACTAATTAAATAATTTCACTTATAATTCATCCCTGAATTGCAATACTTGCTATGAAAAATTTTAATTCAAGATCAAAACATTTCTGTACTTTTACGATTTGCAAAATGATAATACAAATTTAAATGACATCGTTCACTCACGATGGGACTGAATTAATTTTTCAAATAATTCGTGATATAATCTTTTCTCATGAAAGTAATCAAAGATTCAATTAACGAGTAGTGTACCGTGGAAAATTGAAACTTCGACCAAGCACAACATTAATTTCAAATTGCATTATACAAATATTTGAAGGAGTAAAAAGTTTTCGCAAAAGAAGAGAACTCTGCATATATCCTTCGCATTTCATTCAAATTATTTCGTTTCGAGTTGCCGTCTAAGAATGTCTAGAGTCTAAAATAATTGCTGATCTTGTTTCGCTCGATCATTAATTAATTGGTAATGTTGACAGGTGGAAATGCCCGAGCAAGAATTCACGATGGACGACATGTCGCATCGGCGATCAGAGAAAGTATCAATTATTAATTCTCGCGCTCTTTAAAACTTCTTCCATATACTCAAGTCCAAAGACGACGGTATAATGTTCGGATCACATGTGCGGAAATTGGAGTCGTTGACAGTCCATGAACGATAGTAATCGACCTATGACAAGCAGGATAATTTTAAGTCTCAAGACAAATGAATCTTAATCCGACATTCAAATAAACCCCGGTATTTCGTTGCGGATTTCGTACAAATTACATTTCTCGCTTGTTTCACGTGCCGACTTTCAAATTGGAAGTGCCCGGGAGAAATGAGAAGTCTTGAAAACCAAATTACCGTATATACAGTCTAAAGAATAAATAAACTGAATTAAGAAACTTTTCGCAAACGCAATAAATATATAATAAAAGGAAACGGTTGTTTATTTCATATACTTCAGGAAAGCATAAAAAAAACTTTGATTCAACAAGATTGATGAATACAGCAGAAGGAACGAAATAGCATTTTGACGGTTGCTTTTTATAAATGAGATCGGCCATAGCCGACATTCTTACCGATACGTTTGAGAGTCGTCTTGCGCAATTTCGCCGAAAATCCAACGTGATTACAAAAGTTTAGCAACTGCGATCATCAGGCAAATTCGAGTCAAATGTGCACCGAAATGCCGGATATTAGCGAAATATAATAGGAGCGCTAACTCGTCCTCTTGTATATTCGTCGTACTTAAGCTTCTTGAACAATGCCTACAATGTATGTGATTGTGTGTTAGAAGCCTTTAGTTCTCTCGAATGCTAAAATGCCTTTAGTTCTCTCGAATCTAAAATTAATTAATGAGATTCCGCGCTGATTATATTTGCGATAATCGATTTGCGAAATGATCTTTCGGCGTGAAACGTGTCTCTAGGTAACGATATTTTAGACAATTTCTTTCGAGGCTGAGCACATATGTTAAGTGAAATGTTATGTCGCAACAAGTGTCAATTGTTTATGCGTAAGCTTAAATGTGCGCATAATTATTTCATAAAGCGAGTAACAAAAATTCCACGTGATTTCATATTCAATTGTGTTCTCAAATTCTATCATATGTATTATCATATATATATTATTTTAATTTTCAAATATTTGACGTTTTACATTATTTAAACAATAAGACTAGAAGAAAATTCTCAACTTTGTATTACGCTTATTTAATATATTTAAAATTACGTTTCTTTAAATATTTCAAGTAGATAAATATAACAATTTCCATAATGTAATGATATGCTTTGACAGAACAAACACGAATTATTTTTAAAATAGAAAGAAAAGAAAATATTTAGTCTCGTGACAATAAGAACATCCTCAAAGAAATAAATATATTTAGCATCAAATATATGTAACATTAGTTGAAAAACTCGGGCCAATAATGTGTCAAGCCATACACAACAATTAGAAATAGCATTATAAATAATTTATAATTCCATGAAATACACATTCGTAAAAAAAAATCTCATTTTTTTTCGTTTGGCTCAGCATTTTATTGATCCGAAACTTTCATTTACGTTATGTGATTTGTAGATAGCAGCTTCGTTATAAATAGTTTTTATAATTTCCGGATTAATCGAGATATTAATCTTTCTCGTGATGTGTCCAACGAGTTGGACATTTCTGCATTATTCTAGTCAGTACGAAGAGAGAAGATTCCCATGAGCATATATGTAATCAGAAATAAATCAAAAAAGATTAAGCCTGATACAACGAAACCGTGGACGAACGAACCTTGTACGTGTACACAGTCTGTTTTAACATGAAGGGGACCACGGCGGATTAATAAATATATTCTAGAATCAACGATTGAATCATAGCCATCTCTAAGAATGTGACGAAATTACTGTTTTACTTTCGTTTGCTTTTCGTAATAATAATAGTCAGTATTTTAAGTAACGTTTCTCAATTGTTTCTCCATAATATGTTAAAGAATTATTTTTAAATTAAAAAAAGGATTTCTGATAAATCGCTAAAATTTATTAATCTTTCACATTTTAATAATCGAAATATAATTTACTCTCTAATATATTAAATAATTTCAAAAATTATATTCAGTAATATAATTAAATTTTTATCTATATATATATATATATATATATATACACATAAATAATTAGAATCTAGAAAAATATAATTATATTATTTTAAGAAAAAGATTAGATAAGAAAAATTAACCAATTTAAAAAATAATAGAGTGCATAATTAAAAAAAATTTATTATATATGTGATTACTATTTCATTTCATCTACGATCAAGAAATGAACGCTAGAAACTATGCTATTAGATACTGTATTTATTGCTATAGTTTCTGAATTTGTTGTAATTTTTTATTGTTATAACTTCTAAATTGGTTATCAAAATATCACAAAGATCTTTTTTTATTGATGTAAACTTTGATTGGTCCTTCGTCCGTCCGCAGTTACAATTCTACCTTGATTTCAGGGTTTTGAAGAACCTCTAGTGTGAAAGTAAATTCATATAATTAAAAGAGTAAACTCCGGGCGGATGTAGAAGAGAACTGTAAACATCGGACGAACGATTTTCTACACTAGCCAACTTTCCGACAGAAAGTTAATGAAGTTGCATGATGTTACCGCGGCGTCGACTAACCGACGAGTAGTATTTTTTTTCATCGATTTTTTTCTCATAACATTAAGAAACTGCTAAATAAAGTATTCTATTTAATTCAATCGTGTATGTCGCACTCTATAAACGTTGAAATGTACCAAGTAATTGTCTTATCTACCATTTCAGTTAATTGAAACATTAACTGAAACGTAAGATTATAAAATAAACAAAAGAATCGAAACGTTCAATCGCAGAGGTAAAAGGCTCAGTATAATAGATATTGATCATTGAAAGAAATGTGAATGCAGGAAACAAACCATTTTCTCTTTTCTTCTCCAACGAAGGTACAGAGAAACCAATGCGGATTTGACCGTCAAACACGACAAAGCAGCTCGTTTAACTGCAAACTGCAAAGAGAGATGGAAAGATAAATACTTTGTGGAATCTCAATGGAAGGGAAACGGAACTTTGCAAAATCAACATTTCAATGTTTAAGATGTGCAGGAAATGATTTCCGAATTTATTTCCGCGATGGCAACGCAATAATATATATCTTTTTTTTTTCCTCGTAAGTTAGATTCCAAAGTGATATTGAAATTATCATAATTACTGAATCATCAATCATCGAATCATATGTCTACTATTGAATTATTGCGATCTCTGCGGCGAAGGTGTTTGTGTAGAAAACGATCGATCGTCCGAATACTATGCGAAGCACGAAGTTCAACGAAGACGTCGACAGTTTCGCAGTATTCAATGTCTCATAGATTACACCCGCATGTAAATATGTACGTATGTATGTATATGGAACGCTTGTGTGCATATGTACAAACTCGGCCAAAGTGTATACATAGATGTTAATTACGTTGATGTTAATTACGTTGATGTTAATTACGTTGTGTATCTATCAGTGCGACGCGAGCTCTCGATCTTCTCGATCAGAACATACATATCGATCTTTTGTGCGCCTAGGCAATCCTTCCTAGATGATAGATGAAAAAAAAAGAGCTATATTTGTTATAGGAAAAAAATACTAGAGCACGATAAAAAGATATTTTGACAAGTCTAATCGATTAACTTGATCGAACGATTACCATGAATGTCGTGTTTACCAAGCACATAATTTAACTTAATGAGTTAAATAAGATGTCATGTGTGAAAACTGTAATGTATCGAATCACGTCGAATTGGATTAAATATTACGCAATCTAATTATGTGTGCTGCGGCAAATTTACGACTTCTCGACTAAAATGATCGTCGATTAATATGTTGTACGAGCATAAGATGAAGATTGAATTGATACTTTCCCAACGATTTCGATAGCACTGGCAGGTCCAGCTAATATTTAATGTTGATTTACAAAGCTAGTCAATTGTTGAAATCAAGAGATCTCGACCGAATCATATTAGTCAATAAGCATTGGATCATTTGTGCCAAAACCAATAACTTTTTATCTTGAGTATAAATTTTTCTTGTATATATAATTGTTTTTCTTGTATATCTAAATATTTATATTTGATAAATATTTAAATCATTATTTTAGAAAATTAAAGCATACATTAAATGTATCATAAATTAAAAGATTCACTTATATATAATAATGATTACATGATGATGGAATTTTAAATAAATAGTATAAGTTAACATAAATTTAGATTTAAAAGTATTCTCAAATATTCTGAATAAATTATTTTAATTTTAAACAAATAGATGACTGCAATTTGATTAAAATTATATAATATAATTTATTATATAATATATATTGAATATTTGAGAATACTTTTAAATCTAAATTTATATTAACTTATACTATTCTAATATATGTATACTAGAATAATATAAATTAACATTAGATTTAAAGGTATTCTCAAATATTCTGAATAAATTATTTGATACCGATAAATCACCATCCTCAAATTATTCTTTAATCAATTCCACATAGAAACAAAATATCAAGATATATATGAGAAGCACAAATGATCCATGTCAACTCGTATTCGAAATTACCGTGCATCGTACCGCATCGGAATAATCATGCAAGTTCTTACGTCACAAGCTCGTCTACTACATGTTTTACAATCTAGGAGCCTATTAACGTCAAAAAGTTAATCGTCTACATAATGACGATAGCTATTAACTCTGTCGACAAGATTTATAGTACACCATCATCATTTTTGCAGTAGGATTCGAAAGACCAAGTCATTGACAAATTCCTTAAACCGTCAACGACAGAGAGGTATTTTATTTTTCATTTTTTTTAACTCGGATGTTAAGTAAGTGAATACTAGATTAGTTAAGATATAGAATGTGTGAAATGAAAAAGTAGCTCGAAGCAGTGTGTTACACTGTTGTAAGTGGTACCGTAGAAAGTATCTTATAAAAATCGGGATGTATTGATCGATACTGAAATAACTGTCGACTATTTCTCTTTCAAGATTCCCCTACAATTTGCCTATGGTAGGATGAGATCTTTATTTACGACGTCGATAAAATATCGCGCCGATCTTAAAGTCAATATGTAACGATGCGAATCGATACGGAAGGCTAACTAAAATCGAAAGTGCAAGAAATAGAATAACAAATGTATTATTTATCATCGTTTCGAGAAAAGTGTAACTTCATGGCCTAAAGTTCAGTCTGTATTGAAAAAATATGATAGCCATAATCGCGTGCCGTGATTAACGCTGATATAAAATAAATTTTTAATAAAATCAAATTATCTACTGTTTTTGCATCCTGTTTTCATCCTTTCTGACTTTCTTACAAAAATAAAATTATTTCTTTGAATAATTTGGAAAAATTTTAATTAATTAATTTTATATTTTATTAATAATTTATTATCATGTTTATATGTAAACGCAATAAGTTTGCATGCCAATTATTTAATTTGTCATTAATAAAGATTTCTGTAATTTTATGATATCTATTAAATATATTTTTATTTCATATAATTTTTTATATTTAATTAAGAAAAAAATTCTTTAATAAAACAAAAAAATCTAATTGAATAAAACGTTTCAGTTTTGTAAAAATTTGACTTAGAGAGCATGTTTTTAAATATTGATGAAGTCTTTGAAATGTTATATCTATGCCTCAAACTAGTTTAGTTCTTCTAGTTAACCCGTTAGCAAAAAAAGGAACCGGTTTTCTGACTTGACCAGCATTCTCACGATTTCACCATTATTTCTTTGAAAATCAAACGGCAGTTTAATGAGTTAACTATCCAACAAACTATCGAATAGTTTAACAATGTATTACTAGTTTTTGGCGCAGATATCAAATTTATAAACTATAATGTTACATTTTATTAAAGCAATTTATTAAAATATATTATAATTTTATAAAGAAATAAATTTTTTTAAATGTTAATTATTTTTCTTTAAATAGAACAAAAATCATCAAAAGTTTTAAAATACAGTTTATATTTTATTACTTATATACTTTAACATTATTAATATATCTGACTTTTTAAAAGATCGATTAATAATTTATATATATTAAAAGACCAAAAATTAGAGAAAAACATATCAAGTTTCATAAAAAAATCTACAAAAATCTACAAAAAAAACAGAAAAAGTAAAGTATCAACAGTAACAACGTAAATCCAACGTGACTTTCAAATCTCCCACAGAAACTGAAACCACTAAAGAAATCAATACTTTGCATCACTTGACAAGTGCCAACCGTAGCAAGTAGCAAGCTCTATTACAAACTAACATTTCGAGAAAGAGACCACTCTCCGCGATATTGATATAACAAAAGAGAATTGAAATAGGATCGCCAAAAGAGAAAAATCACTCGTGGGACCACCTACGTCGCCGAGAAAATCCTCTCGAAAATCCATTTCCCTACATTTTCCGCACCACAAGATGTCGCCTCGGATTCGTTTAAACCTAGAGTATGGCCGACGTGATGGCAAAGATCGTTTTGCAGTCGGAGATAAGATATTGTGACGAACGTTTCGGAATACTATGTGGTCGCACTCATGAACGCATTCGTCGGCAACGGCCGATGACGCGCGAGGACGCGCAAATTCTCGCCTCCCAGCGTCGCACGACGCAACGTCGAGCGCGCAACGTCGCCGTTATTCGGCGAGGCCGATTACGTAAAATCGTCGATAAGATGCTCCGACTTGAACCAGCGAACGGAGAACACTCGTCGGAATCGGGTACTCGTAGCGAGCGTACTTCAGTTTTACGTCGGTTGCGCGTACGTCAGCCACATGCCAGCAAATCGCGTGCGTCGCATATACATTGCTGCGACAGATGCGAAGCACGTGCGCGAACGAAATCACGCTGGTTAAGCAATTATCACACGAATATCGCTCTATCGATGAATGACTTCGACGAAGGAGATCCATTGGAGATCGGTGAAAGGGGATAGCAGTGCAGAACTGCAGAACGACCGACGACGAATTTATTTTCATCTAAAGTAGCTCGATCTGTTCTATTCAATGCAGCTGAACGTGAAAATATGAATTTTTATGTTGGAAATGGAGCTGTTATTGATGGTGCTACTGTTTCTTGTTGATGGAAACAAGTTTGATTTATCTTAACTCGTGAATGTTATATTAATCAGACATACAAATACAAATTTTTTTTTTATGTTGTAATTTGACCGAGACAATGGCGTTAAATATCTTCCCATTAATTAACACATTTTCTTCATGTCATTTTTTTACATGGTAAGAGTCATAGAATATATTTAATATAGAATATATTTATCTCGTGAAATTACCTACTATTCCTTTACGCACGTGTAAATTTTATTTTATGTAAGTTTAAAAATTTAACGACAAGAAACAATAAATGTCTGTTCAAGCTCGTTATCAATTTTTTTCTTGACTTTTTCATCGATTTTAATCGCATAAAATAATTAATAAAAATTTTTAAAAATTGGAAACAATCATTCTTGTACTTATATATCTAGTCTGATATCAAATCGATATAAAAAATAGATATTAAAGATATTAAAAACATTACTTTGGATAACGTATCAAGCTTACAAAAGCTTACAAAAGCAATTAAATAGTTTGATTCAACCAATTTATCGAATGAATGTGATAAATAATTATAAATTACACCGTCAGATAAATAAGAACGATTATATAAACTATCATTCTTTGTTACACGTACACCAATATCCCTCAGTAGCGATCGTGTTAAGTTAGACATCTAATTTTTCAACATTCAACATCCAATTATCATAAATGTTATTGCATACCGCAATATCTCGCCGCATTCCTACTCATTATACTTGCTTGATATGATTAATCCTTGTTTGTTGTACATATTTATACTAATCAAAGAATCCATTCATATCGAATAAACGAAACTTAAATTTTAAAGTAATAATTATATAGATAAAACGTTTAATTTTAGAGTTTTTTTGTTTATCACATATTTCTCCCCCTTCCTCGCCTCTCCTTCCAGATATTTGTATCGATGCCGGAAACTTTCATAAAGACTTTTTGATTTTTCTTATATAATATGAATTTCTTATATAATATGAATTTATAATACTGCATCTCAAAATCACAAGTATTTAATGCATACAATAATAAAATCTAAAAGAATGTATTGATGTATTAATTAATAAGTTTCTATCAACGGAATGTCGTAATTAATTAAAACGTATATAAGAACATACATCTATTGTTACTCGCGAAATTTTACGCGGATTATTATGTAATCATTCAAATAACCGTATGATTAGAGAAGATATGAGATTTTTAGATATGCCTTAAAAACGATTGATAAGATATGCAAAATCGACTTAATGCTAACATTCACAGATAAGATATCTTGTGGGTTCATAAAAAACTAGCTCAGCAAATTTTATGCTAAAATACGTACGTGCATAAATTATAATTCGCGAAATAAAACAGAGTTCGCCAGAGTTCAGATTGTTAACCACCTGAGACAGTTGAGAGTAGTGGCCAAAAAAGTTCTTTCATATCAAAGAAGCTCTACAATAAAAGAAGACAATGGCAAAACCAGTAACAACTAATTATGATATCAAAACTAATGAAGTAAGTAATATGATGTTGATTTAAGTTAAAAAAATATCGTATTTGATAAAAAGAATATTTGCAATGTAAGAAAATGACAAAAAAGTTACTTTGCTCTATTGATTTTAACGGAAATATTTTTTATAATATTTTATATATAATTATTTGTAATTTTCTGTCATAATGCACAACACAATAATTAGATAACAAATTGGAAACTTTAATTTTTAATTTTTAAATATCTTTATTATATTTTCGTCAAAGAGATGTCGTAATCTTTTTTATGAAATTTTATTATTCTTTGTTTAAATTAGCACTAAAGATAAGTAGTAAATATTATTAAAAATATAATGTAAATAATTAAATAATTGAAATGTACAATAATTTTATTAAAAAAAAGATAATTGTATCAACTAAAAAGCATCTTTTAAATCGTATTTGCATATCATCATTAGTTTTTAAATATTCAAGCCTTTAGTCAGCATTTTTTATAATAAAATTTCTTTTATAATAAAATTTTTTATAATAAAGTTTTCTTAAATTAATTCAAAATTGTCGTATAACATCTTCTATAATATTCTAATTTTTTCAAAGTATAATATTTATATGTTATTAGCATTAACAATCGAAAAAAAGAATAAAATAATCAGAAAAAAATTATGAAGTCAAAAAGCGCCAAAAGAATCTCATAAAAATAGCTAAGAATTAAATAATAATGATTAGCATCAATGATTTTTTTCAATATGTACTCATGTTTCTGTCATGTTTACAACATTTGTAAATGTAATACCTTCTTAATGATATATATCCGTTTCTATGTCAAACGTTGAAATCTCTTACATCAATAATATTACTAATGTTTCCTTTCTAGATATTAAACTGGAGAAAGGTCGAGAGATCAAAACTATGTAGTTATCACAACATAAATGATACCGAAATGAAAATAGTGATGGTGAAATGCTGATATTCTTGTGTAACATATAATATGCACTATTGAAAACGTTTCTATGTGCATTTATGTGACAGAGATATTTAATATTTATATAATATTTATATATTGATTATTTTATACAATTAAAAATTGTAATTACATTTTTCCAATCTTCTTTCTTTTGTTATCGTCAGTTTGTTGTTGTCAGTTTTAAGAGGTAACAGTCATATTATATATTTTACTTCATTCGTCATTTTATTTTTTGCCAAAGTAGCTTTTTTAGTTTTGTTTAGTTTTAGTTTAGTTTTAGTTTAGTTTATTTTTTACAATTTTAATATATGTTGCTATAAACGATAGCAAGTCGTCGAGTTTATATTAAACTATGTGTAAATGTTTATTTTACAATTTTTAGACGGCAGCAAGAATGGAGGAATCCTCTCGTGAAAACATGAAATGGAAAAAATACTTTGGATGGACAAAACATATATCGGTAGAGCCGACCATGTGGCTCTTCATGATGGCATTTATGTTCACATCGGTCGTCGAGCAAGACTTCTTTAAGCATAAAGCCTGTCGAGTGGATCATGGATATTCGGAACAAGTCTGTATGTCATTGAATGATAACAATAATACGGATATAAAGACCAAAGTACAGGTAAAAATTATAATATATCGTATTTAAAATAAAAAAGAAACAAATAGAAGGAAATATATATTTCGATAAGCTATCAAAATTTCGAAGAGATTAGAAGATTAGAAGAGATGTTTACTTATCGAGCGCAAGTATCCAATTTGACTCGTATGTATAATTATCTTATTATCTACACTGCAAGATGTAAATATTTGATTGAAGTAGAGATAGAGATAGTTGGCATATGGATGGCAGCAATATGGATGTTATCAAAGCAGTTGCCAGTTAAATATTAGCATGAGATATCTACATAACAAAAATTATATCATCTGCGATCTGTATCGTAGTCTATATTTAAGCATATATATATTCTCACATTTCTCTTATTTTATACGAAAAAAATAATTTTAATTAAAATATTAAAAAATTTTTTCATATATAACTCTGAAAATAATTTTGGAACATTAAAATAACTTTGTAAGATACTTAAAGCATGATAATAATAATGATAATAAAAATTATTTTCAGATCTGTATTTGATTTTTAGATACTTCAGCAAAATACTATTTCTTTCGCCTATGAAAATTTATTTATTGGAAGTAGAAAATAAAATAAAATATTTAAAAGCAATTTTTAAAAATGTTAAAATGTTTGTAAGCAGCTCTTTCATGTAATATTTTAACCGTCCACTGTAATTTGAGATAGAGTCTTCGCAGTGCCGAGATGGCAATGAACTTCTATTCTTCAATTAAGAATTCCATTTAAGGAAAAATCATATTGCAGATGACCGTGTCAGAATTTCAACAATGGAATGACATTGCCGGACATCTGGTGCCTATTATCTTGGCGATGTTCTACGGCAATTGGAGTGACCGGCATGGACGTAAATTGCCGCTCGTCCTCGGCTTAACGGGCAAATTTATTTATTCTTTTATGATCGTGATTAATTCCATAATGGAAACTTGGAATGTAAACATGATAATCTACACGGCAACCCTACCGATGAGTATATTGGGTGGCGATGTCGCAATTTTTGCCAGTTGTTTCTCATATATATCGGACGTAAGCTCTATGCAACAAAGAACCCTGAGAATTACGATTTTGGATGTCGTTTATCTCAGTACTATGCCTTCAGGTAAAGACAAGTTCGCTCTCAAAAAAGCTTTTGTTCTTATCGAGAAAATAATTATAATTATAATTATAGTATATTAAATATTTGAATTGTCAATCAAAATATTTTATGTAGGCATATAAGGAATGTAACTTTTTAAAAATATCTTTTATATACAGTTCGGTAATAAGCATCATATCATTTCTCGTAGATTATATTGAATCAAAAAGTTCTGTGGCATTTTACGATTTTTGCAGTAACTGAAGATTATGAAGATTAATTTATATAGAATAAGCGAATGTTCGTACGAAAGAATAGCCCAGGACTATGCATCGATAGACACGCAATAAGATATTGAATGTGATCTACAAATGACAAAGTACTTCTTTATAGTGCAAATGACAAAGTATGTCTTTATAGTGCCTCCAATGTATAATGCCTCCATCGCCGCACTCCTAGCAATCGTGAGCATGCATAATGCTAGGCTATCATTTTGTAAAAAAGCTTGCTTATTCGCGAAGATATAAAAACTTAATAACTCTTTAATTTGCAAAAGTCGTAAAATGATATAAGATTTTTTTTTATTTAACCCACTTTTTATAACCCACTCTACTTGAGATAATACGATTACTATCGGACATCCTGTAAATAAATTAATATTGCACATTTTTATTACAAAATTTTTTTATTTATTTATAAATAATTTTGGAGTTATTAAAAAAATCGGATGGATTATCAGTGGCATTACTGCTTTGTCAACTACTTTCCATGAAAATGTTCGATTATGTAAAATCTTTGCAATCTCTCTAGTGGCGTAACGTTCAAGCAATTAATCATATTTCTTTTTGTTCTTAGGAGTTGCACTTGGATCTTACGTGTTCAATCGAGTGGTTAACAAGTCCTATACGATTATGTTCGCTGTAAACGCAACCTTGCTCTTGCTGGCAATTGTGTACTCGTTTATATGGCTCAAATGGCGAACTTCACCACAACAACAAATGCTTTCGGATACTAATTGGCTGCTGGATTTCTTCGATGTAAAGCATATCTCTACGACGGTGCGAACGTTAGTGAAGAAGAGACAGAATCACGGCAAATTACACCTATGGTTACTTCTTCTCGCGATGTGCCTATATACGTTTCAGAGAGACGAAAAGCCCAAGAGTCAAATGTATACTTCACTGATCTTTAAATGGGACGTGACGGATTTTAGCAATTTTAAAACATTTCAATCAACTCTCTTCGTATTAGGTCAGTTGTTTAAATTTAACTGAAATTAATTTTAATATTTCGCGACGAAATCAATCCGAACAACGATATGTTCTGACCGATGCAAGTGAAAGGAGAAATTTCTTATCGAAATCGCAAGAACTTTCACTTTCGACACTTTCGAATTTACAGTTTTAATTAAATGGCAATAAATAAATTGCAACCGTATTGCGCTTGTATAAAAGGCTCGGTTTTTTTACATAAGAAAATATACAAAGTAGATCGCGTAAAATAAAATATTAATTAATTTTTTTCTAAATCTTTTCAATATTCGCATTATTTTAAATATTTTTTTCATTTTTTCAATATTTATTATAGTTATAAATATTTCAAATAAATTAAAAGTTAGATATTAATTAGATATTATATAGTTTATAAGCGGCACAGAAAGAAGTTTTGCTGAAATATTTGAAAATTTGGGTCAAATTTGAAAATAATTTTGTTGAGCTATCAAAATAGAATTATGCATTCAAATTGCTAGAATTTTTGCAAAAATTTTTTCTTTTATACAATTAAACAATTTTGACAGCTCAATAAAATTGTTTATTGATTTGCACTTAAATTTCTAGATACTTCAATAAAATCATTCCTTCCACGAATACAGTTATTTTAAATGATATATAGATATTTTAAAAACATATGATATGCTTAAAAAGAATTTTTGTTTTAGCAATGTTGATTGGAGTGCCTATTATGAGTAAATTAATGGGAATGAGGGATGTTTTCATCGTAGCGGTTGGAACAATAGCACATGCATCTGGAAGAATAGTATTTATTTTAGCAAAACGACCAGAACTATTTTATGTGGGTAAGTTAGATGTCTTTCTAAATCGTTGTTTCTAAATGCTATATGATGTCATTATTGATTAATTAAGACATTTCATACATACATTGGATATAATAAAATAATCAAGAAATATTTTATAATAATAACCATTTTGCAGGTGCTACTGTCGCCGCTTTAGGTCCAGTAGTAGCTCCGGTACTTAGATCTATGACTTCGAAACTTGTGCCTATAGAGGAGCGAGGTAGTAATTAATTATATTTTTATTAATCTACTTTTAAATTGAAATTGGTTCAATCTCAGAATCAACACAGACATATAATCATTTTTGATATTAGAAAATCTTCTAAATTAATTAGAAATAAATTTTAAAAAACTTTGCCAGTGTCTGGAATTTTGTAAATAAAATTGTAAATGAAATTCTGTAAAGTCATCTCTATGTCAGAATCGAAACTCGTCCGGTTTTAAAGCTATCGGTTTTATAATATCGTTCCGGATAATTTTTTTTCCTGTCATAACAAAAAAAAAAGATAATCGTATCGCTCTGATTTCCAGGAAAAGTATTCGCGATGCTTTCTGTATGCGATAACGCGGTCCCGCTATTTAGTGGCAGCTTATATTCCCAACTTTACAACGCCACAATAAAGACAGCACCAAATTCATTTTATTGGTTAACGTTTGCTACGCAGATTGCCGTGCTTTTGTTAATTCTGTAAGTAAATTATAATTTTTCTAGACGGTATCTTTTCGTATTCTTTATTTTTAGCCTTAATTGAAATATTAGAAAATATTTCATTTAATTGCATTTATATATAATCCAATTTTAACAATCAATTTAATGACTATTTATTTTCTT